TGAGTGGGGGCTTGCTGTTTGCGCCTCAGTAGTCAGCGGACATTGAGTGACAGTTGTGTCTGGCTGTCTATAGAAAATTGCAAGGTGCCACTGGCTGAGTGTAAACAACTTGAAAATTAGCAGTTAATGAAGCCTCGTTACGGTCGCAGTCGGATCGGGTAGTCGCCCAGTCAAGGATTACCGCTCAAGTGGCTTGGCTTGCCTTGGCATTGTTTGGACGTTGATTGCGCTGAAGGATGTTGGCGCAATATTTGTGCGGAATTAGTGTAATGGCAAATGGACAAGATGATGGCAATGAGCTGATTGCATTGCGATTGCCCAAAAACGGGACAGGTGAATGGTCTGTGCCAAGATAAGGACAAAAGGATTGGCCACGGCACGTGCTGCTGAACGAAGCCCGAAGAACTCTCAGAAATTGCTGCAGACAATGTGATTGAAACAAAGAAAATGTTATCTGATAATGGGTCTCGTAATGGCATATTGCTGGCATTTAACGTTCAAACTGCTGTTGAGTGTTGCCGTATGAAAAGCCTTTCTATACGATTCTCAATGTTGCTTAAATTTGAGTGTGGTCATTGTATAGAACTGAACTGTCATTTGACTTTAAATTTAGCTAAACTGTTGACTTTTATTTTTCATTTCTTCTTTATCTCTTTGATTTTCATGATTGCTTTGAGTTAATTCCTTTTTTTGTAGAATACAATTATTTGTGGTCTATTTAATTTTTGCATAAATATTATTTACCACAACTAAAGTAGATATATTTTTTGCGCTTGGTAATTCAGCTCCAATTGTTCAGATTATTCGCATTACCTTTTTCTGCTGTTTGCATTTAATAATTGATCACATTTCTCTTTAATTTTATTTATTTAGCATTCACACAAATATTAATTTTCTATAGCCAAAGTTGTTCTGTTTTTTACTCAATTTGGGTTTTGGCTTATCAGATTTTCTCAGAAGCCGCAAATAAGAGTTATAAATTTAAAAAAATTGGGCTCAAAAGAAGCCCCAAGAAGAGAGAGGAAGTTACACATAAATTATT